AGGAATTGATCGTCGTACCCGTTCTCACGTGAGGTCCCGGCAGAGTATTTACGTCACGTTATCGGGCCTCACAATATGACTTATCTTGTAATAAATACAGAACAAATAAGCTGTAAAGATTAAGTTGAGACATCGAAAATAATTCGAAAAGAGCAGGAACCTCATAAACTTTGCTTAGAAGACAAAATATATTCATTTTTATTGGACCATATGATATTATTTTATATAAATACTGTCGACAGTCAACCAACTAAAAAAAAGGTAACCGAAATGCGTTTGTTAAAGACACATTTAAAACAGCTATTACTAATTGTTTAGCTTGATATAGCAGGCATATGCTAGTTAGAATGAAAGAGCCGTGTTTATATTCGAGTTTGTCTTGTTATTGTAACGCTCTCAGGTCTATTGATCGTAGATGGTAGATTAGGTTTATAGATAATAAAACATATAATGTGCTTGGTATCCAATAGATCTTGTGGTTGGGCTGATCTATAAAAATCAACCAATCAAATAAATGTCCTATGACGTGATCACTTACATATTGATCTACATATTGCATAAATCGCATTCTTAAAATAACATATTGATCTATATATTGCATAGACTGCATTCTTGATATTTTTATAAACCACCAACCCATAATGAGTATCTGCAAAAATTGTATTACTCGCGTTCAAATAGTAGTTTTCGAGCAAAATAAATATTTTTTTATCCGTGTTCCTTGAATATTTTTTTTCGTGTCCCTTGAATTTTTTTTCGTTTCCTTGGTACAGTTAACTGTTGTTTAATTCTATTGCAAATTTTTAATGAAAAAACAGTTTCTAACTACTTCAAAGAGTTGGAACCACACAAGTGGTCACTAATTAGTTTTTTAAATTGGAGATCGAAAGCCTCAGATTTATCGAACTCAGAAGCAGAACATAGCATGGAATCCTGAAAATTGCAGCTAAAATAAAAATAGAACTCGAGCACGAAAAGCGCAAGGAATGGTATTTAGTAGAAGTTGATTTGATTATAAGTTCAAAAGCCTAAAATTTGTTTTTTTTTTAAAAAAGTACTCAAATACAACATAGAACTAAACTTTTTTATAATTTGGTATATTTTTTATATAAGCCTTTGAGTCATTGTTGCGACATATTAGTGGTCCCAGAGACAACTAATGTCATGACAGTCCATCGTATCACATTAATTTTGCCAAATCCCAGCTCTCATAGCAATCTCAGAGATCTGCACGGTGTGCACAATTATCCTGGAGATGAATTGGGGTATTTGGTAGCCCTCTGAGTCATTGCTGTGACACACTAGAGTCCCGGAGACAGCTAGTGTTGAACCTGGAGTTCGTCACAGTCCATCATTATATTTTGTAATACCTACAGATAGTGTAACGAAAATTTTTTTCCTGTGTCTCTCACTTCCGTATTTGTCTAATTCATTAAATTGTCGCATACCTTCCATAAATGTATAGTCATAGCGGTGTTAATCTTACTTTTATAAGGCATTCTTATGTCTTCTTAGTGGCTTAACCCATATAAATTTCCCCTGGTCGCGTAAAGCATGTGTGATTTAGAGTTATAACATAGATGCTATATTCTTAGCATAGACCTCATAAGAAATGAGAATGTATTTAAAGGTTGCTCTTGTCCTCAGCTCAAAGGGAAGAATGCTCTCTGAAAATGCATAAACCTACGTTCTTTTATATAATAAATGCCTACTAATCATGTAAAATCCGAATTCCTTAATTTGTCATCATGTACCGCATCTCTCTTACGTCAACCATCGGAAGCTCTCCCATTCGATGGTGACAATAGGCATCAAACTCATTGACAATTGTCATTTTATTCCTAGAATATTAAACGGTCGTTAGAAATAGAAAATTTTTGGGATGATCGTAAGGTACAAGTTTAGAGTAAAATCTTAAATACGTTCAAGCACAAAATCAGTTAAAAGTTTACAAATCGATTCTGAAGGTGTAAGTTATATAATTGTCTATGCTATCTTACATTATATGAGTTATGATTAATAATTTTCTATTAGCTATGTTATGTTCTCAATAGAAGCAGAGAACTAAATGAGCAAACAAATATTATCGGAAGCAAGAGAAAATCAGTGTTTAGAAAAGATATTAACACGCATTCTTTTTGTTAATAACATTATGTAATTCTGTTCCTAATGAATTAAAATTTAATTTTAGGATAAAAAAGAACGTAGAACTAAAAGCTATCACGCATACCTTTGATTTTATTTTATTCGCAATGATTTAGTCGGTAAGTGCAAAGAGTATTTATTACCGATATTTTTAAGGTTACGATTAGTATTCTAATCTTCCAAAAGTATTTTAAACATACTTACGTCATATTTGTGTACCAAAATGTCTGGAACTAGTTCTTCGCAAAATTAAGTCAAAAATTTTTGAGTTTCAAATCAACTACTCAATCAAGTCAAATTGCTCAAATAATATATTCTTGCTCGATGAACTGTTTATATTAAATATTCAAATTTGATCGAAATATTCTTGCTCGATGAACAGTTTATATTAAATACAGCATTCAAATTTTATCAAATATTTTTGCTCAATTACAAATTTGATTTGACCAAATATTTATTTGAAACTCAAAGTTTAATTTGATTTGCGGAGCCTATTTGCAGTGATTTCTGAATTTATAATTTTTAGAAGTTCGGTTGATGATATTTAAATTTGTACTTGTCGATTTTCCTTTGACAGCACTTGATTTAATTGTGTGAAAATGTAATTGAGCGGATTCCTTTTAATAGATTAGATCATCAGCGATAGATTCATAGCAGCTTGATAGAAGGAATACAAAGATGAATATGTAGTTATCTAAGAAGATAGACGAATATGAACAAATGGAAAAAAAGGATGTTGATATTTATATTAAGAATTTCAACATCCAACCACACTTATTTAAGTGTAATAGAGTAGATCGGTGACAAGAATATAATTCTCTAATATGTTTAATAAATTGTTGTCAGAATTAGAATCTTAATGCATTTTGACTTTAGTTTCATTGAGGATTCAGTGGTAAACATATATTGCTCACATACCTCAGAAGACGACCCAAATGACAAAGGGAACTAATTGTATCGATGATATGACTAAAGAATTTCAAATGAGCTAAATGTGATCAAGTTGATTCTTTTTAATAGATCAGATAATTTAAGAAGAGCGGATGAATTTCTAGCAACAAGGTTAGAGGTCAGATGAAATACGGAGGTATTTGTATGTTATTATTACAAACATGTGACCCTCAGAAGACGACAAATGAGTGTCGCTAAGGGAAACCCCGCAATTCTAAAAATGGTTTTATGAAATTCATAATAAATCTATTTTTAGAATTGCAGTTTTTCCCTTAGCGACACTCAAGTAGAATAAGGATTGATGGTTCTATTGAGAGATGTCAAATCTATAGTATAAAGACGTAATTAAAGAAGGTCGCGATGAATTTCTAACGACAAGGCTAGATGAAATACGAAGGTATTTATATGGTTATTATGACAAAACACGTGGTTCTCAGAAGACGACAAATGATGGACAAATAGAAATAAGGATTAATGGTACTATTGAGAGATTTCAAACATATAGTATAAAGAGGTAATTAAGTGGACTCATTTTAATCAATCCAATAACTCAGGTGAATACGAATCATTTTAGGTGAATGTGTATTTTTATTGCAGAATGATTTAAAACTCCCAAGTATTTATTGACTGTGATTGTATTATTATCTTTATAAACATAGATAATGTTGATCGATAACCTAAATAGCCTTTATGGCCTTTATGACTTGTCATAGATCACGACGAAGATGATAACTTTTGATCTTTTAATATAGTAAGAACCATAGACAGTAGTAAAAAAAAAATTTTATTGGCAATATGTTATACCAGTTCGATAAGATCCTATACTTTTACCAGTTTAACCATAGCTGCTGCAACAAAATTGTCATTGCAGATTCTCGACAATGATTATCTAAGAGCTATGATCAAAATTTTGGTCAAATTACACAAAATTTTATTAATGAAATCACAGCTGCCTATTAAGTAAGAATTATTACTGGAATTATGCTGATCTATTTTCTTTAAAAATTTCTATTTGTCGAATGAAAAGTTAAAAGGTTAATTCCGGCCGGAAATTAGCAAACAATTATGTAATGCGGGTCAAAATTTTGCAGATACACGGTCGTTACCCAATCAAATCGAGGATCTGCCGTGACAATTTTGTTGCACTATGGTTAATTAGCAAGATGTGCTGCCAGCAATATATTGAATCCTTGGTCGAGCGTATTTTTGACAGTGATATGCTTATATGATTAGTTGTTAAGGTCATTGTTAAGGTTAGTAATACAATTTGTGAGCGGGTTATGCCAAAATTTTGTAAGGAGTTTCTTTTTATTAGGGCGTATGTGGCTTTTTAAATGAACTTGAGATAAAATGATTTTTTTTTAGAAAAAATATGATTTTGATTCTAATTAACCAAATTGAATTATAAGAACATTATTATATACGGGTGTCTACGTTAATTTTGAAAAAAGTAATATAGCAAAAAATTTCTTCATTTCTATAATTTTTATATAAGGCTAGTGTTGTTAGGCGAAACCTAGAGGTTTCGCCACAGGCGAAAGTAAAACTAGGTTCGACTTTTGGCAAAAAAAAATTAAAATTAATAAAATTGCGAAACTGATGAAACTGGCAAAACTGCAAAAACTGCTAAAAAGTGTTGAAACTGGAAAACGGTAATGAAATTGGTAAAAAGATAAGAAAACTAATAGAATAGAAAGATAATTAAACTTTTTATATAATTATCAATCTTTTTATATAATTACGAGTCAAATTAGGTTTTAGGTCAAGTTAAACTTGACCCGGGCCAAAATGATACCTAGCAGAATTTTAGGATTAGTCTGGGCCTGGATTATGTGGTGTTGGCCGGATTTTTTAATTGATTAGTTTGACCCGGGTCAACTTTCAATTAGATGTAAATTTTACTGCATTTGGTTCATTATATGTAGTCAATAAATAGTATCGGGAAATAACAACTGGGGTAAAATCACCACCCTAAAAAGTTTCAAGACCAATCAAATCTCAAGATCAGGTGTAACGTAACACGAA